TACTATTATTCTCATAATAAAAGTATTACTAACATCTACTTATTTATTTTTCTAAAGTATTCATTAAATTGCTTGAAAGCTATGTGGCGTAAAGCCCAACTTGGCTAATTGCTGCAGGAAGTGTAAATTATTAAGTCAAAACTATCCTTCACTCAAGTTCATTGTTGTCTGCTTGCTTACACAGGTCCTTGTATGTAGGGGTTTATGAATTCTAGCTAGTAACTGATTGTGGTGAGGTCTATGGGGGTTGGTCAGCTTGACTCTAATTTGTTATATGCTTTTGTGGCCTCACAAATGCAGTTACTTAGGTTCTCTATGAAAGGGAGTAATTTACACAATTCTCTTTTGTATTCAATGCACCAAAGCTGAAAGCAATTGTTGCTAAGCCAGTTTTTCCTAAGGTTTGTAGAATTCATAGTGAAAGGCTGTGAATATGACCATATTACATAATTTTACAAGTAAAATTAAAATTACTCTAAAGAGAAGGTAGAAAGCAACTTCTGAGAGCCATCTGTCTTTCAAGATGACCTTTCTATTTGCTGGAACTGTGTCAAGTGGCAAAAGTGAAGCTGTTCTTTACCATCCACCGCTTCCCACAGGTATCAACAATGGGCTCAGGTATCACAGTCATTGTGATCCTAGTGCAGGACTGGGCAGTGGTTTGTCTGTTGTACATTGGGTTACTATGAGTCAGTACCGACGCGATGATACCTAACAAACAAACAAACAAACAAAAAAACAGGGGATGTGTGTGTGTCCACAGGGTGTTTGTTGGAGTGAGGCTGTTTGTTGTTGTTAAGTGCCGTCGAGTTGGTTCCAACCCATAGCAACCCTGTATAGGATTTCTAAGGAGTAGCTGGTAAGCTTGAACTGCAAACCTTGTAGTTCAAATGACTTTGCATTCTGGTGCATTAATAGGACTCCAGGCTGTTGGTAGAAGGAAGGAAAGGGGAAAAAAAACAAAAAAGGAAGGAAAAAAAATAGGATCCATGAAGATCAGTGTTCTTCTTTCATCATTTTCTGTCTGTTAAAAAATTTACCATTTATAATTTAAGCCTGAGGGATTTGCCCAACTAAGACTTCTTGACCTGGATTTTTGTTATCAGAAATGCCTGTATTTATTTTTATCACCAGTGTGTTTCAAGACCTAAAATAGTACTAGTCTTGAATATGTAGTTCCCATTTTTATTATCATTTCTCAATCTTAATGCAAACAAGTCCTCCCACCTATTTCTGTAATTCTAACTTTGTCTCTTATTCTAATCCTCTTACTGAATCATTTCACAGTTGCAAGTCATACAAATACATATTTTATATGTCCTGGCACTTCTGACAGTTAAGTATGTTTTTAGTGATGTTTCTTGCCATGATTTTCAAAATCTGACATCTCAGAACACCATTATTATCTTACTATCACCTCTGGTTACAATATTATTTCCTAGAAAAGCATATAATACTTTTTGCAGAGGAACCCAGAAAAGCAATCCTGAAACAATTACTAATTATTAGATGAACTGCACACACATACAAAATCCGATGAATCACCTGAGCTAAGAAGGACGGAGCAGGCATAAGAGAGGTGAATCAGAATGATATTTAAGAGAATGAAAATTTTAATAAAGAGGCAGCAGATAGGAAAGTATTAGTGATAAGGAGATCAGGTTTAGGAAAAACAAAACACTGAAGAAAGAAACGATGACTATTTAAAGATTACATGTAAAAAATAAGCAGTGCTGATAACAATTTCGTTGTCATTGATCTACTACAATAGAGAATGTTATTTGTGTTATGACTTCCCTCCCCATCTTTTGTTTATTAGTGGGGAAGTGTTTGCATGGAACCAGCCATAGATCTTCATCAAATAATGCCTGTAACTGATTAAAGATGGCACTCCTACGTAGCCCTCTTAAGCTCCAGACTTTTATCTATAAATCCTAAACATCTATTTGCTATCTTTCAGGTACTACAAACATATCATATTTTACACTGACATTTTTAAAAGTGTCCTCAAAATATATTTGTTTTTCTCTTCTTCCCATTTTAGATAGTGATAGTTTGGTGCTACAGGGTAATGCACTGGACCACAAGGTCAGTTTGAAGCACAAGTTTAATGGCTCAAACTCACCAACCGCTCCTCGGAAAACTTACACAGGGTTACTATGAGTCAGAATCAACTCATTGACACTTAACAATGACAGCGTTCAGTCAGTTGAACAAAGTTGAAAACCTGGAGTCATTGTATAGTGTTCCTTGTTTATCCACCTACAAATCTGACTATTTACTTCTTTTATTTTGATTAGCAGTCTCCCTTTCTTTTTGTGTCCCTAACTCTGCCTTTGCTAAGGTTTTATGCCTTTTTGGATTGCCATACCAGTCTCCTACCAGATCTCATAACGTTAAGACTTCTTCAGATGTAACTCATTGTTCTACTCAAAGGCAAGAGTAATTGTTCTACATTCAATCTGACTTTGTGACTTCTTGCCTTTAAGTTTCATTATTAATGAAAACAGTGATGCTTATATTATTAGTGTTACTATCAATACATGCTCCTGCTCCATGAAACTTTTAAGATACTTGTCCCTTTTGTGAAGATCATACTAGGTCAGCAGTACAAACCTTTGAATCTCAATACATGGTCTCTATAAGATGGAACTGCCTCAACTGTACTTAACAACAATAACCAGTCCCTTAAAGCATTTGAGTTCTAGTTCCCTGCCCTGCAATGGTATGGATAACAGAAATCCATACTGTTTATCTTACACTTCCCAATATGGTTTGGAAAAAGTCATAGTGGCCTCTGTTGCTTAGCTATTTTGTTCTTTTAGTGTCTGCCATAAAACCAAAAACCAAGCCCGTTGCTTTTGAGCCCATTTCCATTCGTGCTTTACCATTGCTGTTGTTAGCTGACCTTGAGTTGATTCTAACTCATGATGACCATGTTTGTGAAGAGTAGAACTACCTCATAGGATTTTCAAGGAAATACCCTTTTGGAAGCAGATCACCAGGACTTTATCCCAAGGTATCACTGCCTGGGTTCAAACTGCAAACCATTCAGTTAGTAGTTGAGCATAACTGAGGGATTCTCTTGTTACGCAGTGAGAGCTCAGAAATAGTGTTTGTTAGAATTAAAGACTACATACAAATGGAGTACCATAAACTCTTCTCAAATTGTCTAAAAGCATACATTTGTTTTTCAACTGAACTAAATATCTTGTCTTTCTCTTTTAATCAGTCTAGTTAACCGCCTGCATATTTATTTTCACCTTTTTATCCTGCCATGCCAGGCATTACTAGACTGGGCCTAGATGACAGGCTGCATGCATTTTAATGTTGTTTGTATCATGCTGGGTGTTACAGAATGTACTGGATGGCACCAGTTCTGAATAAGGACAATAAGCATGTAGAACACATTTAAGCCTCCTTTTGTTTTAATAGTAATTCTGTGATTAAATATATTGATAACATTATAGCATATTGACAATAATACACTTCATGGAGCACTAATTTGAAGCCTTGCTAGGTTGAGACTCAGCCAGAGCTCTATTAATGCTTATAGTTAGGCTCAAGGTAGACCAAGGAATCTCCTGTGGTTACTAGGGAGACTTAATCCTCTAGACATGGTAGTCTATACAAAGAGAGATTTCCCTAGATTCTTACTACCCCTAGATTGTACAAATCTGCCAAGCTGCAAAGCTATGTTTCTTATCCATGTATTGTTAGTGAGCCTCTGCACAGAATTTTCTAAATGCAAAAAAGATCCAGCAGGCCAGGCCCCTGAAAAGGTACTTGGAAAGTTTCCCACTTTGTGTGCTGCATAAGCTAGAGGCAGCAAAGTGATAATTAATAAAGTGCCAGACTGGATAATTGCAAAAACTGTAAAAGATACTCAAATGTTGTTACCAGAGGCACAAGCACACCTGTGAACAAGTGAAGTTAATTTGTGTGAGGAATGTCACATCAGGGCGAATAGGAACTAGAGATGTGAGATTTTCTTTAAATATTTCATACTTCAGATAGAGAACTTCAGTTCTCAATAAGAGAATTCCTGCTGATGCGTTAATACAGAGCTTATGGAAGCTGTGGCCCCTGCTTTGTCTTGTGTACAGGGTCAATCAAAAAGCTTTGCTATCAAATCCTAGAAACCTTTATTAAACAAAAATGTTTAAATGTGAAGCCATTGTTTCTCAACATACCCTCCTTCTTGAGCTAGGCACTTCTGAAGATAGTAGTTTCTTCTCTTTAATCCTTTCCCCAAATAATTCTAGGCTCTGCAATTTAGCAGTTTTGGCATCATCTAGGGACTAAAATCATATTCCTTTTAAATATTCTTTGTGTCTTGGGAACAGAAAAAAAGTCTAAAGGGGCAAGAGTTAGGCTGTAGGGTGAAGACAGGGTTTCCCAACAAAATTCTCTCAGGACAGCCTTTGCTTGCTACTTCCAAAGAATATGCAGGTACATTGTCATGATGGAAAACTAAAAATCCTTGTTGAAATTTTCTTGGCATTCTTCTCATCATGCATTTTCAATTTCCATAGACAATCTTCCTAAAAAGCCCATGTGGTCATCATGTGCTTATTGAGAAAATCTATGACGATTACTTCTTTGGGTTCTCCCAAAACAGTCACCATAACCTTCGATATTACTTCTCTGTCTTGAATTAACTGACCCAGAATATCACTTCAGAAATCATTGTTTTGTTTGGACCTTTCTTTGAAGGTGCCCAATTGCGACAGAGACAAGTATATTAACAAGATAACTTGTCTACAGCCATCCCCAGATCCCAGAGACATGCTTAAACATGTTTTGTTTGGCATAAACCCATGCATGTATGAACTGGAACCCTAATAGTGATACTTTATCACTTCCCCTCATACACAGTAGGAGGGAAATTGTCTGTTTCAGAATATTGAGATCAAAATCAATATTTATTTATATATTCATCTATATTAATTTCTGTGTTACTAAACATTTTAAGAAAATGTTATTATGTTTCTTTTAAGGTAACCTTCAAAGCATCAAGACATTCAGTATCACCAGATTTAAAATATGTTCTTCTGGCCTATGATGTCACACAGGTAAGGGAATGATTTTCTTTGAGAAAACTTTGCTTTGTGGTGCATTCTAGTGCCAATCATATTTTTCCTTTGACATCTGCTCTTCTAGGGAAAATGTAGCATATCCAGTAGTTGCAGAGTGACATTAATGGCTGATGTTGCACAAGACAGATTTTGGAGATAATGTCCTTGTGTGGCTAGCAAATAACTTGTACAGTCTGACAGGCATTTATGCTGATAAAGTCTCTCTTTTCAGAGAGTGGCAAAGATTAGCAAATTCAAAAATTAGCAAATAGGGGCTTTTGAAATCCCCAAGGTGTCATTGTTATTCTTGTGAAATACTGTCGAGTTGATTCTTACCCATAGTGACCCTGTATAGGGTTTCCAAGGAGCAGCTGGTGAGCTTGAACCACCGGCCTTGCAGCTCAAACGACTTTGCAGTCTGACACATTAGCCCATAACGCCACAAGTCAAAAATTAAGTGCTTGTTTTTTTTTCTTGTATGTGGTGGGTGGTGGTCGTGGTAGGAGTGTTGTGTGGAGGAGTCAGTTCTGACTCATAGTGACTCTGCACAAGGTTTCTGAGGCTATGAATCATTATTGGAAAAGAAACCCTCATAGTTCTCCATCAGAACAGCTGGTAGGTTCGAACTGCTAATGTTGAGGTTAACAGTCCGACTTGTAACCACTACACTACCACAGCTCCTTTTTCTTTTATGTATACATTGGGGATTTTCCCACTAGTTTTGCTCAGAGCTACAGTGTGTATAGTGGTGAGGGACTGAGGACAACACTGATCGAGTTGTGGCCAATGACGATTTAATGGTATTTGAGCATAAGCTTTTGGTTATAGAAAATAGTGCAATTGATTCCATACAAATAAAACCTTCTAATTGCAATTAGTGTTTTATTATTCCATGTCAGCCCTGAAGCACAATCAGAGCAGTATGTATGAGTATTTTATAGTTCCATATAATTTGTGCTCTGGTAGCGGGCTGTGAACCGCAAGGTCAGCAGTTTGAAACGACCAGCTGTTCCGTGGGAGAAAAATGAGGCTTTCTGCTCTCATAAAGATTTATAGCCTCGAAAGCCCTGTACAGGGTCGCTATGAGTCGGAACCGACTCCACGGCACATAACAACAACATAATTTGTACTGTTAAAAAGCAAATTATACATTGGAAAGGCAATCCAGCAGTTTAGTTTTTGTAGAGGATAAATGATTGGAAATCATTCAAGAAAGTTTTATGAGCTTTAAGATGGACAATAAAAATTTATGGACTTATGGCAAGAAACCTCATATTATGCATTGAAAGTCTTTGAACACATGAATTTCACAGTTGAAAAGACCTACTTGATGGTTTTAATATCTTTTGGGATATACATGTGCTATGTTTTTAGAATAGTTTATATTTTGATGGTTTAAAATCATTTTAGACTGTAAAGAGTCTGGGAAGTTACACTAAGAAGCATCTTTAATTATTGTAAACCATGGACAATTTTTTCTTTATCATTATTAGCTTTTGTGTTATCGCTATTCGTTGAGATTTGGAACATCCATGTAATTTTAAGGAAAAGAAAAACTTGTATAAACAAAACTATTATAGTATCAAAAAAGGTTTAAAATAATATTCTTTGAAGAATCTTAAATGAAAATGGCTGCTATATTAAATTGATGATGAACTTTGTAAAAAGCAGATTTTAATAATTATGGCAATGAAAACTGTATGATACTGGTAGAGGGACAGACACATAGATTAATGGAGTAGAACGTATAACCCAGAAATAGATCCAAATGAATGTGCACAACAGATATTTTTTATTTGAAAAGGGTACAAAAGCAGTTGAACAGAGCCCAGGTAAGCTTTTTTAATAAATGCAGTTTAAGAAAATTAGACAATCATAGTAAGGAAAAAAAAAAAAGAAAGAAAAATAAAAAATAAAGAATCTTGACCAAACACCCTAGAAGAATTCAAAATGCATGGTTGGCTTCAACAAAATTTAAAACAATAAAATTTTGAGAAAAAAATAAAATAGAAAATCTTTGAAATCTAGAGCTAGAGAAATAATTCTAAATCTTTACACCAAAATCAGTTATTAGAAAAAAATCAATATTTTAATTTCATAAATACTAAAACCTTTTGATTTGCAAAGACCCTGTTATAATCAAGTTGTAGATTGGGGGGAAATATTTGCAATTCACATAGTTGACTAAGGATTAAGGATTAGTATTTAGAACATACAAAGAACTCTCAAGACACGACAGTTAAACAAAAAGAAAAAAAAATCAATTAGAAAATGGGTCCGATATATAAAGAGATACTTTATTGAAGAGAATATAAAAATGGTAATTAAGAACATGAACATAGTCTTTTAGAAACATACAAATTGAAATCACAATGTAATATCACTACATATGTAACAGATTAAGTAAAATACATAATAGTGACCCCGTCAAAAGCTAGGGGCCATGCAGTAAAACTGAATCACTGATAGATTGCTGGTGGAAATGTAGAAGAATACAGCCACTCTGAAAAATATTTCATTTGTTCCTTTAAAAAACTAAATATGCAGCCACCATCTGATCTTGTAATAGTACTCCTGGGCATTTATCCCAGAGAAATGAAAATGTCTGTTTACACAAAAAGCTGCACACAAATATTGATAGCAGTTTTATTTGTAATAGTCCAAAACTGGGAACAACCCAGGTGCCCTTCAGTGGGTGGGTGGATAAACAAACTATGTTGTATTCACACAACTCAGAAATGAAAAGGAAGAAACTATTGACATATGAAACTGGATGAATCTCCAGAGAATTGTGCTGAACGAACAAGGCAAGCCTAAAGGTTTGCATGCTGTAGGATCCCTCTTACATAAAATTACTGAAATAATAAAATTATGGAAATAACAAATGAGGATTAGGGAGGGAAGTGAATGTTACTATTTAATGATATGGGGCAGCAGGAGGTCCCCTTATGGTGACAGAAATGTTCTGTGTCTTGACTATATAAATGTTACTATTCGATGAGTTGTTACCAATTTGTTATCATTAAAAGAACCTGGGTGGATGGTACATGGAATCTTCAGATATTGTTTCTTATAACTGCATGCAAATTGACAATTATCTGAAAAGAAAAGTAACTGAAGGATACTTTCTAAAATAAGACTGAAAACATTTTTTTATTCCTCTTTATGTATATAAAATTCATCACCCATATGGATTATATTAAATCTTTGAGATCTTCTGCCTCAAATAAGTTTCTAGATAGAGAGATGAAAATATTTCAGTATCCATTTCCATATTTATAAGGTTTTATACAGATTTATATAAGTTTTATACAGATGCAACATAATTTTCAAAGGTTTATAGCTGGAAATATTTTAAAAACAGTGAAAAAGATGATCGGTTATTAAGCAAACTAGTGATATTAGTTTGAGATTCTTGCATCTTTGTGCATGTCAGACAGTGCCTTACTGGAAGAACAATGTTTTGTGGTTGCTTTAAGATGGTTAGATTCTGCATGAGAAAAAAACTATATTGTGATATGCCAGTTCGTTTCAGATAGTATCATTAATGACCATCCTACAAGCACAGAAATTAAAGTCGCTTTTTCATCTCATTTTCAGAAACTGATTTTTGGTAATTCAGATTTATCTTTAAAGGAAGGATCTAGAATATAAAGTCTAAAACTAGGCTTCCTTTAGATACTTGGGCATGATGTATCAAAAGTCTATGATAATATAATTGACAATTACATTGATCTGACCAATCAAAATATGCTCATATCATTTTTATTTACTTTGAGGAAAATTAAAGGTACATTACAACAAACCATTTTCTAAAAGATGAGAAGTTATTATTATAATAACTTTAAATGATTAAATTCAAATGAACACTCATACCACATCATTCATTCGTTTTATTTTTTACCCGCCATCCAGATATAAGCTACTGAGTTGTACATTGTGTTAAGATATGAGTGTATGTGTGTTTATATGTACACAAGAATGAGTCATCTCCTTCAAGAAATATGAAGTCAAAGAGTGGTAATATGACACAAGCACTTACATCTACCACATAGAGCACTGGATGATATGAGAGCGGTAACATTTGAGAACATTTCCAATCACAGTAAACACAGGGTGTTGGAGGGGATGCATATGCTAGACTTTAAAGGAGAGATTTGTAAGGATTAGTTGAAAGGCATTCTTGGCAAGATGACAACATCAAAAAGGACTGACAATTTATAAAGTAAACAAATAAAATGTAGAAATTCAGCTTGAGCTCTTATATAATAACTTGAATATCAATCTTTTCTATACAGTTTATATTAAGATGCCAATTTGGGTATTTATTTTTCAAAAGTAAACATAGCCAATGATCACTGGGGTGTGTGTGTGGGGGGGGGGATATGCACATATAAAATTCTCATTTATAAAGATGAGAAAAAAGGGATCTATCAAGCCCACTCTCACTTATATGCTAGAGTTATTATTTTGTGTTTTTTATTTTATTTCCCTTTATGTGTAAAATTTGAGAAACATGAATTATCATACATTACACATTGCATTGGATAGACAATCTTATGTTAATTTCAGAGAGATACAAATTTCTAAATTTGCTATTTCTATGGGGCCTGTATCTTGTTTCTTGGCTCTACTCCATCAGTCTATGTTTCTCTCCCTGTACCAGTATCACACAGTTTTGATTGCCATAATTATTAAAATCTGCTTTTTAAAAAATTTATCATCAGCTTAATATAGCAGCCATTATCATTTAAGATTCATCAGATAGAGAATATTATTTTTAAACTTTTTTGATATTGTAATACTTTTGTTTACACAAGTAAAAAACGTGTCTGTCCCATGCTTTCTCCTTCACATGGATGACTTTGACTTTTCTTCACATAGACACGCCTTTATCATGGTTGCCTCAGGTGTCCCCTATCATAAATGCTATTTAATACCTCCCCTTTGAAGTATTTATTATAATAATGATTTTATCTAGCACAGTCCCTTGCAAG